AGCCTCCTCCTCCTCCACCTCCTCCTTCTTCTCCTCCTCCTCCTCCTCCTACTCCATCTCCTCCTCCTCCTCCTCCATCTCCTCCTCCTCCTCCTCCTCCTCCTCCTCCTCCTCCTCCTCCTCATACCCCTACTCAGTGTTCAGCTGAAGCTCAATGGGAGCGTGCTCCCGAATTGACCAAATCAGGACATCGGATCTCTGGGGGGTCCTCCTGAGGGCCCCTCGCGAAGAGTCAAGAGACTCGCATTTTTGGCGCGGCGGACGCAGTCAGCGCATACGGGAGCGCACGTCACGAAAGCCCGTGACGCCCACAGATGCCGTACCCGTGCCAGATGCTCCACGGGCCCTCTGGGTCGCATCGGGCCTGCCCCAGCGAGCCCGCCGCCGGGGTCGCCGCCCGCGCCGCCAGCGGCCAGCCGCCGCCGCCAGCCCCCTCCTTGGTGTCCGATTCGGGGCGGTCCGCGCCCTCAGCGCGCGTGGACGCGGCAGCCGAGCTTCCGCGGAGCGCCAGGGCCGAGTTCAGGAGCCTGCTGTCGGCCAAGTCATCGGCTAGTCCGAGTCGAGGTCCGAGCCCGAGATCTCAGGCCTGTCCTCGGCTACTCCGATTCCTGGGAGGACAAGGCAGGTTCCGGCACCGCTCCTCCACAGACCTCTGCAAGGGTGCCCTCTGACCAGAATTTCGAGGCGAGTCCAGCCGTGGCGACGTCGCACCCTCGGATCCGACATCGCGAGGACTTATAACATCCTGGAAAATTAACGCTAGTCCCCTAGACCCCAAAACGTCTGCGGCGATTTTCGAACCGATCGATCTGTGATGGCTCCAAGCCCCGAAACCGAACGAAAACGCACAAAGCGAAAAAAAAGGCAAGGCCCAGTCAGGGGACTCAAAGTAGATTCGGTGGATCGCGCCGCATCGCCGATGCATCGGCGACGCTGGCGTGGAGAACGCTGGGATGCACATCGAACCGCATCGGAGATACATCGGCGATGCGGCGCGGTACTTTGACCCCATCTGCTCGGACACCATCTCAGGGGCCTGGAGTGGCGGCGTCGGTACCTCCTTGGCGGCGCGCAAACAGAGGTGTAGGGGGAGGGAGGCAGACTTCTCAGAAAAAGGCTCCCTCTTAGAGAGCCCTGGCCCTACATCTACAGACACGGCCCGAGCCTTCCATAAACCAGGGGTGCTTCTAAGAAGCCATCCCCCGTCCCCCCACCCCCTTCTGCGCGTGGCTGATCTTCTTCCCCTCCGAGTCCGACTCGCGGCGCGGCGCGGCAGGCAGCCGGGCGCAAAGCCGCACGAGCAGACCTCAAGAGGAACACACAACGGCGCAAACACACTTTCCGTTGGAGGTCCGCGCGGATTTCTTGGATCGGCGCTGGACCCCCTTCCCTGGCGCCAGAGGAACTCGAGGGCAGATCCGAGAAACCCGCGCGGACCTCCCAAACCAAAGTCCATGCTTATGTTTATGGGTATGTGCTCTTCCTGGGCGGGGCGGGTCTATCAGACCCACATCGGCGATCGATGGGCGACTAGGGGTCGATGCATGTCCCCTCTGAGCCTATCCCCCCCCAACGTCCCCCCTTGGTTTTATGTCGGACCTGTCCCCCTACAGGGGGATGTTCGACGAAAAATAAAAAATACCCCAGGAATAATCAAAACATACTCCAACAATAGTCTGGGGAGTATTTTTGTTAGTATTGATTGACCTTTTTGTTGTATTGCTTGTATTCTTTAATTTTGCATCGAAAATCCCCCTGTAGGGCATGACTCGGCGGCAACTCGGGACGATCTGGGCACCTCCAGAGCGGGCATCGGCAGGGCGCAGCTGCCGGAGGGCCATCCCCGAGGATGGAAAAAGCCGCCAGTGACCAGACGAGACCGCCCGAAGACCTCCGACCTCGAGCTCGGCGCTCCTCCTCCACTTTCTGTTCAGCGCTGTCTTGGATGGGAAGAGGGGGATCGGGCACGGCAGCGACCGTCCGAAGACCTCCAACCTCGAGCTCGACGCTCCTTCCTCCCCTTTCTAATCAGCGCTGTCTTGGATGGGAAGAGGGGGAGCGGGCACGGCAGCACGAGGATAAGCACGGCGACGGGGACGCAAAGCCACGGAATTGCCTGCCTCAAATGGCGTGCGCGCGAGCGGAGTAAACGGACGATGACGCTACTCCCCTGACCTCTCCCGGATCCAACGGTGGCGACGAGGACACCCAGGAGGGCGAACACAGGGAAAACGGGAGAAAGGGTCGCCCAAACCTTTTCCTCCTCCGACGTCCTCCCCAATCTTGAGCAGGGACAGGCCGACCCGGCGTTCCTGTAGGCCTATCACGAAAATCCCGTAGAGCAAGACAAACAAAAGACATGTTCTTAGAGCATGAACCGATGTGATACAACGACACCGCCTCAACCAGGAATGCTCGAACATGTTCTGAACAACGAAAAAGGCTCTCAGAACATTCTGGTGTGGGCCTATGAGCAAGCCAGGACACTTCGCCACTTCTTGACTCGAGGGCGAACAAAAACAGCATACACATAAACTTCCGACGCTCCGCGCGGACTTCTGGGACCCTGCGCCGAACCGCCCCTCCCTGGCGCGCGGAGCGCCCCAGGCGCGGCGCCGCGGGCGCCGCCTGGGGGGGGCCCAGCGCGGCTCCCAGAACTCCGCTCGCAGCGCCACAAGTCCATGGCTCTGGCGCTTATCGTCCCTTGCCGTCGCTCGGACGTCCATTTCCCGTGCATTCTTCGGTGTCGTGTGTGCTTGTTTCTCCTCGATGGTCCAGGATGGTCCTCGAGGGTCCCCGCCGAGAAAAAAATGCACGCGTCCGAGCGATGCCAGGGCCTTCGACTCCCTGTCGCTGCCCCAGCCCACCGCAGCCCGCCCGAGCGGCTCGGCCCTCGCCCGCCGCCGCCGCGCCCGGCGCCGCCGCGCCCAGCGCCGGCGCGGCGCGGCGGCAGCCCTCGGCCGCGGGGGCGCCGGGGCCGCCGACGTTCGCCCTGATTTTCGATTCGACGAGCAGCAATCGTTCCACGATCGAGGCCGTGGCTTTTCGATCCGTCGATTCTCGGGGCGAGCGCTGCGCGATCCCAGCGATCTCCGAGGAGCGCGCAGCGATCTCCAGGAGAGCCCAGGATCGGATCCACAAGTCGGATCGGCGATCGGCATGAATCGGATCGTCGGAAATCGGCAGCTGAGTCGGGAAAAGTCGGATCGGCAGAAATCGGCAGGCTGGTATGCCTCCAGTAAGAAATCGGAACTCAAATCGGAATCCCAGATCGAATCGAATCGGAATCGGAATCCATCGAAATCGAATCGAATCGAATCGGAGGAATCGAAGCGAGCCCTGGCGATCTCCGAGGAGCGCGCAGCGATCTCCGCGGCGCGGCGGCAGCCCTCGGCCGCGGGGGCGGCGGGGCCGCTCGGCGGCCCGGCGCGGGGCGGCGCCCGCGCGGCCAGGAGGGCCCCGGGGGTTGCTGCGAGTGCGGGGCGCGGCGGCAGGAGGCCCCCACGCAGGAGGCCCAGCCTCATGTCGGGCGTGTCCCCCTTACAAGGGGATTTTCGACGGACAAAAAAAAGAACTACCCCAAAAATACCCCAAGAGGGCCAAAAAATACTCAAAAAATAGTCCCCAGACTATTTTTAGACTATGTTTTTTTGACTGTTTTAGGGGTAATCTTTATTTTTGCGTCTATTTTCTACAAGCGGATTTTCGACGGAAAACAAAAAATACCCCAAGAGGGCCCAAAAATACTCAAGAGATAGTCCCCAGACTACTTTTTGACTCTTTTGGGGGTAGGTTTTTTCTTTTTCGTCGAGAATCCCCCTGTAGGGGGACAGACCCGACTTAACACTAGGCCTCCGAGATGGGGTCCGAGCAGCTAGGGTTGGAGGATCGCGCCGCGTCGCCGATGCATCGGCGATGCGGCTCGATGTGGAGCTCGATTTTTTCCGCACTGGCGGCGCCGACTCAAGCCCAGCCCCGACTTAAGCCAGACTTAGGCCCAGCCCCGAGAGCCCGCTCGCAGGGTGCACCCGGGGGGGGGGGAGAGCGGAGCACCCCCGGAGGCGCGTGCAGCTCCTCGGACGGCCGCGGGAGGTCACCGCGGTGCGCACGGCGCGGGGAGAAGGCCCAGGGTGCCAGGGCGCCCTGGCGAGAGGCAGAAGGAGGGAGGAGGAGGAGGAGGAGGAGGAGGAGGAGGAGGAGGAGGAGGAGGAGGAGGAGGAGGAGGAGGAGGAGGAGGAGGAGGAGGAGGAGGAGGAGGGAGGAGGAGGGAGGAGGGAGGAGGAGGAGGAGGGAGGAGAGGAGGGAGGAGGAGGAGGGAGGAGGAGGAGGAGGAGGAGGAGGAGGAGGAGGGAGGAGGAGAGAGGAGGAGGAGGAGGAGGAGGAGGAGGAGGAGGAGGAGGTGCCCCTGTCCCTGGGTCAGAGCATGCGTAGACAGCAGGCCACCACAACCGCATCGAGGACACGCCCAGGGAGATGTATGGCGCATGCCAACCATGTGTCGCCATCCCTGGACCAGCTTCGTACCGATTGTGGCTGTGGCGTCCCAGGACGGCCAAATCGACTGCAACCACACTCAAAGTGCTCATGTCGAGGTCGGTGGACTCTCCCCCGAGGGGCCCTCCCGAAAAGCTCTACTGAGTTGCGATTGTGGCACATTGTTGCGCCCCAAAATTCAAGTATCGTAAAATATTCGTAGATCTACCGTACTTTCTGCACTCTTCGTGGATTCGGCGACAAAACCATCTTTGGAGTAAGTGCATTAATTCTGTAGTCGAACCCCATGCTCCAAAGGTGCCCGCAGCCGTTCGCCCCCTTCTGAGCTCCTGGGGCCCTCTGGACCTCGTGGGAGGTCATCCTGGAGGCCGTGGGGGGCCTCCCCGGAGATCTCCTCCTCCTCCTCCTCCTCCTCCTCCTCCTCCTCCTCCTCCTCCTCCTCCTCCTCCTCCTCCTCCTGGGGGCACCGCGGACCAGGGCACTCCTAGCAACCCCCAAGGAGGGGCTCCCGCAGGGCCCCGTCGGCGGCGCCGCCGGCGGGCCCGTCCGCAGGCCGCCACCGCGGGTCCTCGGAGCCGGTGCGGCCGAAGGGAGCGATGGGCAGGAAGGGGGCTTGATCTCCTCCCTCCTCCCTCCTCCCCCCTCCCTCCTCCCTCCTCCCACCTCTCTGCGCCCTTCCGAGGTATCATCCGTGCTCCTCGGCTTCGTCTTACGTAGTTGGTGCTGGTTCCTGTTCTACGCCCTCTGGTTCGTCTGCTTCAATTTCGAGCTCAGAGGGGAGTAGCCCGATTCAACCCGAGCAATGGCTCAGGTGGTGGTCGGGTGCCGTTCACTTCGCTTCGCGATCGGTCCTATCCTATCCTATCCTATCCCTCCTCCCTCCTCCCTCCCAACTCCTCCCTCCTCCCTCCTCCCTCCTCCCTGGCCCTGCGCGGCCTTGCGCGATGGCCTGCGCGGGCCGCCCGCGCGGCACGCCGCGCTGAAAAACGAGGGTGCGGGCGCGCGACCTCCCGCGGGCAGCCCACGCGCCAGGATCGGCGAAGGACGGCCCAGCTCTCTTCCGACGCTCGAGCTGGATGCTCGGGTCGGGCGAAAGGGGGGGATGGCAAAGAGGGGGTTTGGGAATCAGCTCGCGTAGCTGACTTCCCCGGCGCCTCCCGGCGCCGGAGGCGGCTATGTATCAAGGAATGGGCCCCTCGGTGAGGCCGAAACCAGCTGCATGCGGCAAATTTCGTAACCCCCCCTTTCCCAATCCCCCCCTTTCGCCCGGCCCGAGATGCGGAGAGAACGGGTGCGAAGCGAAACAGCGGTCCCTGACCGTCTGGAGCAGGACTCGCAGTCGGCGTCGCCGCGGACGTTGATCACTTGAGAGAGAAAGTGGCCTGCCCAACAACGGCCGCTGTGGGTTTGGACGACAGATGTTAACCAAGCCCGCCGCCGCGAGCCATCTAGAGGAAGGAAAAGCAAACATGCTCGCGCGGTGGAAAAATCAAGACTGGAGGTGTTGCCAATCGGGGCCTCTGGAGGCCCCCACCGGGCCCTCACCAGGTCCCTGGACCGTCAAGAGACTGCCCAGGACGAAACACTGGCCCCAGAGGAAGGGTCGGGACGTCCGGCGTTCGCGCACTCGGCAAAAAACAGGCGGTCGCATGTCTGGGAGAGCAACATGGGTATCGACATTCGGAGGCCCGCGCAGATCTCTTGCGGTCGGCGCTGGAATCGCTCTCCGTGGGGGGGGGGCAGCCCACATCCAACGCGGACCTCCCAAAGTTACAATCAACATTTGTAGCAGGGATGCGCGGTAAGGATGCAAGCCCCCTTGACGCCGATGTCGAAAGTTTTCGAGACTAGCTGGCCATCGAAAAGGGTCAAGGATGGACCGAGGAGGTAAGGATGCGAAGGTTCCCGTGGAACGGATGCCCATCCTTACGATGGATTTCGACTGTAGGCATGCGGAAGTCCGCGCAGATCTCTTGGGTTCGCGCTGGGCACACCTCCCTGGCACGCTCTGAGCGCGCCAGGGGCAGCGCCTGTGGCGCCGCCCAGGAGGGCCCAGCGCAGACGCAAGGAATCCGCTCGGACCTTCGAACATTATGTGTAGTTTTACTATGTTGAGCAGGGACCGACCATCCGGGCATTCAGATTTGCCTGCCACAAAATACTCTTCCAACGCATGGGTTACAGCATGCTCTGAGAACATAAGCAGGCAGGTAAGCCAATGCATGAAAACAAACCGCCTCGGCAAGCTCCAAGAAACCTCACACGAGCCACAACGGCCTACTTTTAACGTGATATGGATTCCTTGGTGGCCCTGCAACCGTATAGGAAGGTCAGGGTGATTCGCTGATGCTTGACTCCTCTTCGAGGTCCAGGTCTTCGGGATCCACCGCACCGTCGGCATCGGCGCCACAGTCCTCGGTGCGCTTCGCCGGCGAGGAGCCGAGGCGCGCCAGCGCCGTCTTGCCCCTGACAGCATCGAACTTACAGTGGAGGCCAGTCCACAAGAAACCTTCCACGAGAAACCCAACCCTGAGACCCCAGGACGTCCATTGATTTTTGGCGTGGGAACGTCACGCTTTCCATGAGCAAAACCATCGAAACCCAAGAAACCTGGGGCACCCTGGAGGCAAGCAGGGTGTGTCTTGGCATGGGCCTCCACTGTATCCCAATCCCTAAGGCCGACAAGCCCAAAGGCGATGATGACATAAGGGATGTGCCCTCAGAACCTGAGGGGATCCTCAAGGCAGGCACCGAAAGCAGGAGATGCCGATCATAGGGATAGGGATACTGGTTTCAGGCTGGCAACCCGATCTTCGACAGGCTCCTCGCTATCAGCTTCTCCTGCTTGCCGTGGTCGTCGAGCACGAGGCTCTGGAAATCGTAGTCGTCGAATCCCAACATCATCGCCGTTCCAATGACGCTTCCGAACTCGTGATAAATCTCCTTGGCGAGCATGGCGTGCCAGACCTCCCAGCGGGCCTTTTCATCGGCGTCCACCTTCCCGTCCTCTCCTCCGAAGATCCGCCACCGTGCCGCGGGCACTGAGTCGAGTGCATTCAGGTCCCGTCGAGTCCTCAGTATGGAATCCCACCAGCCCTTTGGGCGTGAGTGGTTTAGAGAGCCCGCTCTGTTCTCAACCCCCTTCTTCCCCTTCGGGGAGGGGTTTACCCCTCCCCCTACCCCCTCCCCCTGGGCCTGGAGAGGGCGCCCCGCGGGTGGTTGGAGGGTTTTTTTTCGACTCCTGGGAGGGCTAAAATTCGACACCCCTCACGAGGATCGTGGCCCCGACGGGGGGAGGCAGAAAAATGCTCCCCTCTTCTTTGAAGCCGAAATCATTGATTTTACTACGGTTTTGGCCCCATTTTGGCCTTCTGAGGGGGCAGCGCAAATTAAAGCTCCCATCTTCTTTCAAGCCAAAATCATTGATTTTACTAAGGTTTTGGCCCCATTTTGGCCTTCTGAGGGGGCAGCGCTCATTAAAGCTCCCCTCTTCTTGGATCGATGTCCTCCAAGATGGCCCCAAGAAGCGCCCAGGAGGCACCAAGAGGCCCCAAGATGGCCCCAAGAGGCCCCCAGGAGGCCCCCAAGAGGATCCCAAACGGCCCAAAGAGGCCCCCCCGAGGCACCCAAGACGCCGAAAAGCCCATCAGGACGACCCTCTACTCGCATGGGCGTCGTTTCTGGACGGGCTGGTGGGGATACGCGAAGCGTGATGAATTTGGCTATACTATGGAAGGCCCCATGCTCTCAACTCACTTAATTTCTGAACGTTACTGGGCGGTGCTCGCGCATCCGAACTCTTCCAGGACGGTCACGGCGTGACTTTCCCCAAGGGGCGGGGGGAGCATGGGGACACGCCCAAGAGGCCAACCAAAAAAAACTCCTAGCGACAGACCCAACCATATGCAGTCATAAGTACCGCAGTTGTGATTATCTCTTTCGGTGGAGCTCCCTAGCCGCATGCGAACGCAGCCACTGGGGCCTTTGGAGCTCCCTCTGGGAAAACGAAACGTGAGAGGGGTGTGGCGAAATGGGGGGGGACCGCATGCGAACGCAGCCACTGGGGACGTGTGAAGGGGTGTGCCGAAATGCAGGCGGGTCCGCCATGCGAACTTTGCAACTGGGGCCTTCGGTGGACTCATCTTGAGGCCACGAAACGTATGAAGGGAGTGCCGAAATGGGGGGGGGGGGGGGGGGAACCGCATGCGAACGCAGACTGGGGCCTTCGGTGGAGCTCCCCATGGGGCCACGAAACGTGTGAGGGGTGTGCCGGAATATGGGTGCAACCGCATACGAATGCAGCCACTGGGGCCTCCGGTGGAACTCAGCATGGGGCAACGAAACGTGTGAGGGGTGAGTCAAAATGAGGCGGGGCCGCCGTGCGATTTTTGCAACTGGGGCCTTCGGTGGAGCTGCTTATAAGGCCACGAAGCGTGAAAGGGGTGCGCCGAAATGGGGCGGGGCCGCCATGCGAACTTTGCCACTGGGGCCTTCGGTGGAGCTCCTTATAAGGCCACGAAGCGTGAAAGGGGTGCGCCGAAATGGGGCGGGGCCGCCATGCGAAGTTTGCCACTGGGGCCTTCGGTGGAGCTCCCCATGGGGCCACGAAACGTGTGAAGGGTGGCGCCAAACTGGGGCGGGGCCGCAATGCGAACTTTGTCACTGGGGCCTTCGGTGGAGCTGCTTATGGGGCCACGAAACGTGTGAGTGGTGCGCCGAAATGGGGCGAGGCCGCCATGCGAACTTTGACACTGGGATATTCGGTGGAGCTCCCTATGGGGCCACGAAGCGTGTGAGGGGTGTGCCGAAATGGGGGGAACCGCATGCGAATGCAGCCACTGGGGCCTTCGGTAGAGCTCCCCATGGGGCCACGAAGCGTGTGAGGGGTGTGCGGAACCAGAAACATGCAGAGGGCAGAGGCACAGAGGCGGAGGAGGGAGGAGGGGGAGGGGCAAGGAGTGAGAAACGCGGGGCGCTGTCTCTTCAAAACGAGGACCCAACACCACAGGATGGTTGTGAACAACCCCCAATATAACCTTGTGAATGATACCAGCGTCCCCGCCGTTCCGGCGAAAAGGGCACACAAGACGGCCCAAGAAGTTGCCAAGGTTGCACCAAAATGGCCCCCGAGGCTCCTGAGCGGGACCCGGGAGGCCTCCAGACTGGCCCCAAAAGAACGAAAAAAGACCGCGCCACCGCCAAACCGTTGGGAGCATCGTTTACCAATGAACGCAAGACATCTGAGCATGCTCCAAGAGGGCCTCCAAGAGGCTCACAGGAGCCACAGAGGCCAGCAAAAGACCCCGAAAGGCACCAGGAGGCCCTTTGTTCTGCTTTCCGACTGACGAAGACTGTCCACCAAACCCCAAAGATATCCCAAACATCGCCGCAGAGGCCTCAAAGAAGGTCCCATGACCGCCAAAGAGCCCCCCACGAGAGCCCCAAGATGGCTCCCAAGATGGCTCCCAAGATGGCTCCCAAGATGCACAATATTGCCTCTAACACTGCCAAAATGGCCCCACGAGGGCCCAAGATGGCCGTAGTTAAAATGTGGCCAAGACGCCCCAAGATGCAATCAAGACTAGATACAGTGACCTCAAGATGGCCCAAGACGGCCCAAGAAAATCCAAGCGGGCCCTTGGAGGGCCCAAGAGGCCTCCAGGAGGTTTCTCGGGAAGACCTGGAGCGGCCAACATCATTGATTTTCACATGTGTGAGAAGTGTGGCGTTCGCTGCATGTTAGCCTTCCGACGGCCAAAAACGACCAAAAAGGTCCGGAAGATCGCCCAATACGGCGCAATTATGACCCAAGAGGCCCCCAAGGCGGCCCCAAGAGGGCCTACAAACGGACCAAGACGCTCAAGACGGCCCACGCGACGTCCAAGGTGATTCCCAGAGAACCCAAGATGGCCGCAAGATGTCCCGAAGACGGACCAAGATGCAGCAAGACGGCCCAAGAAGGCTTCAAGATCGCCCAGGACAGCCCAAGAGGCTCCCAAGAGGCCTCAGAGGTCCTACAGGAAGGCCCGAAGAAAGCAAAATCACTAGTTGTCCTGCTATGTGTTTGAAGGATTCTGGCGTTTGCTCAGTTTCCGACGGCCCAAGATGGCCGCGGGGGCCACCAAGATGGCCCCGAGAGCGCCCAAGAGGCCTCCGAGATGGCCCACTGACGGCCCAAGCGGCCCCCCAGAAGGCCTCAACAGTGCTGACACTTCCAGGACGCCCAATATGATCTCCAAGACGGCCCTGCAGCGCTTCAAGAGGGCCCCAGGTCGGCCCAGAAAGGCTTCCAAGGCGGCTTCCGACGGCGTGAGACGGACCAGGAAGCCCCAAAGAGGCTTCCAAGAGGCCCCCAGAGACGGACCAGGAAGCCCAAAAGAGGCCTCCAAGAGGCTCCCACAGGAAGATCCCAGGAGGCTCAAAGAGTGCCCCAAGAAATTCCCAAGAGGCCTCTCCCTCCTCCTTCTCCTCCTTCCCGTGTTTCCTCTCTTTCATCCTCTTCTTCTTCCCCCCCTTGGTGTTTCCGGAAGTGGTTCCACAAAGGATGGGGCAACATTAAGTTCGAGAGCTTGGCCGAGCTCTGGCCGCAACGTTCGGCTACATAGGCCCTTCCAAAAGGCAGGGGGCGGCGGTGATTCGCCGCAGGCGTCTTCGATCCGCCGCCCCCTGTTGGCTTGCCACAGGTGTGCACAACATGCAAAACGTGAGATCGTGGTTGATCCTCTTAGAGCGCTCCCAGTGGGCATTCGGCCCAACCCGCCAGCCACCCGAAAAGCTCCCGAAACCCAACTCCATTGCCACAAACGCCTCTAGTACTGCAAACATGTCCCAAGATGGTCTCCAAGATGCCTCCCAGACGGTCAAGATGGCCGAATATGGCCTCCAGGACTGTCCCGAGACGCCACCAAAAAGCCAACATACCGTACCCCAAGAGGCCAAAATCATGTCGATAGTCCGTAGGTTGTCAATGAGTTTAGCGCGTTCGCCTTCTCGAGTTCCCGACGCTGCAAGACGGCTCCGTGAGCCCCCAAGACCGCCCCAAAGCGGTTCAGGAGGCCCCGAAGAGGCCCGCAAGACGACCCAAGAGGGCCCCAAGGCAACCCAAAAAGCCCCCAAGATGGCCCGTGAGACCTCCAAGGCTGCCCCAAAGAGAACCCGAATACGGCCTCCGAAGGCCAATATGTCCCCCAGCGGCCCTCGTTGGCCCCCAACATGCCCCCAAGAGGCCCAAGGGAACCCCTTAAGAGGTCACCAAGTGCCCCCATCAGGGGCCTCACAGGGGCCCAAAAAAGACTGCCAGGAAGCCCGCAAAAGGGCACCAAGAGGGCCTCAAGAGAACTCCTTTTCTTGCTCCTCCTGTTCCTGCTTATGTCATTCCTCCTCCTCCTCCTCCTCCTCCTCCTCCTCCTCCTCCTCTTCTCTCTCCTCCTCTCTCCTCCTCCTCCTCCTCCTCCTCCTCCTCCTCCTCCCTCCTCCTCCCCTCCTCCTCCTCCTCCTCCTCCTCCGCCTCCTCCTCCTCCTCCTCCTGGGGACGCCTCGGGCCAGGGGCACTCGTAGCAACCCCCGGGGAGGGGTTCCCGCAGGGCCCCTCCTCCTCCTCCTCCTCCTCCTCCTCCTCCGCCTCCTCCTCCTCCTCCTCCTCCTCCTGTTCCTGCTCCTCCTCCTCCTCCTTTTCCTCCTCCTCCTCCTCGTCCTCCTCTTCCTCCTCCTCCTCCTCCTCCTCCTCCTCCTCCTCCTCCTCCTCCTCCTCCTCCTCCTCCTCCCTCCTCCGCCTCCGCCTCCGCCTCCGCCTCCGCCTCCGCCGCGCCGTAAACCCGTCGGCAATGCAATCTGCGCATGCAACTTTACTCTTTCATTCGTGTAACGCTCACTCTCCTGTTTGTCGCTGACGCGCTGCTGCCGAGCGAATTCCTTCGCGCGCTGCGCGCGTCAGCAGCCGTTTTAACCGCTTCGAC